ACGTTTTTTTTTTTTTGCGTCATTCATCTTGCAGCTGTGAAGCCGAGCAACTTTTTTAAGCCACCATCTTTTATCGACAACACTTCTTTCGCCATAGAAGATGTTTTTTCCTTAATTTATGGCTACATATCTTCCATCACTGAAACGTGAAAAAGTGTTGCAATTATATTCATGAAGGAATACTGAAATGTTGTCGGGTCAAACAACTATCAAAAATGCCACCGATAGAACGATCACAAGACACATACCTCTTCTGAATGTTTCGGTTATCTCCCTTTAACTCAAGTCTCCAAGTTTTTGTCCACAACTGCTGTAGCCACGGATTGAATTCACATTGAATTATCTATGTCCATTAATATAGAATAAAAGGATTTCAATTCCAAAGACAAATTCAGACCTTAAAGGATGTACTACAAAATATTGATAATTGCATTTATAAAGTAGCCTTTTTATTCATATTTTCTAAAGTATTTAATCCCTAGCAATGCAATAAAGCTACTGAGATGCAAGGGGTTACTGGGTGTGAAAGAAAGTGAGAAAAACATTACGAAGGAAAGAGAACAATAACAGAACATGAATTAAGAAGACAGAAGATAACGATTGACATTGCACTTAAATTTTTGAAGATCAAAGGCAATAAAGCCACTAGGATGCAAGGGGTTACTGAGTGTTAGAGAATATGAGAAAAACTGCTATTAAGGAGAGGGGACAATAAAAGAACAAGATAAGACAGAAGATAACGATTGACACTGCACTTAATTTTTGAAGATCAAACTAGACTGGAAAGCAAGAAGATGGGTGAGAATTCCACAAGGAAGAAGTTAGAGAAAAGAAACGTTTAGCACAGAACATACGGTTACATCTCGCCATTTCAACTGTAAAATGATGGAACCTTGCCACCAATTTAGTACAGTGCTTAAATACTTAAATACTTAAAGTCTGGGTACCAAAAAATGAAACTCATCACAAGTATTACCATGAAAATATTTATAGAAAGGCACAAATAAGATATGTTATAGCAAAGGAAAAATGACTGAAACCCAGATGCCAGGTGAGCACTAATAACATTGCATATTCTTCTTTGGATTTTATCAAATATCTCTAAATACATAGCAGAAGCACTAAACCAGATGCGAACGCAATATTCAATGCATGGACGAATGGTAGATATAAAATATAATAAGGAAGAAAGGTGTTGTGGATTCTGGGATGAAATCCGGTACCAATAAATAACAAATGCCAAGAATGAATATAGGAAAATAATGTATTTACGTTATAATACAAACTGGTAAAGCAGGTTAGTAGTTCCAGGAATACAGGTTAGTAGCAAAATATTTATACAGTCTTTGGTGTTGAAGTATCGATGTATGACTTCTTACTGAGTCTACGTGCTCGCTCACTGTGACTCTTGTTGGCTACGTTCGTTCTGTCTGTCTGTTACCTTCACCTTCTGTCGGTCACCTGCAACGTTGTTACCTCACCCTCACTCTTCCGGTTACCTACAACCTTTCATTCTCTTCTGTAGCTATCAGGTCTTCACGTAGCAGTAGCATATGTATATACTGGGTGAGTCCATTTGTGTAAAAAGGGGAGAACCCCTCAACAAAAGGCTTGGGAAATTTGACACCCAGATGACAAATGGGTCAATGGGCAACAGGTGACGAACTTCCGTGAATGGGTAGCGGAACAGGGAATGGGCAGGATGTCTGTAAAAGACAAACATTACTGAGCTACAAAAGACAGGAATTTGGGAAGAGACATGTTCGGCCATATTCTGAAGGTGTACGGCACATAGAGCAAAAAGAATCCCTTTTTTTCCAGATAATGATGTATACATATCGGAAGGATTCTATTTATGGCCTTTTGTCATTTTTGTGTTATTTTTGGTCGAAATATCTGTCGTTGCTACGCTTAACGGAATGTTGGCTGGATTCAAGAAAACAATGCAACAGTAGTAGATGCAACAATGAAAATATTCTAGATTTGGTGTCGGAGTAACACTATTCTCTCTCTCTCTCTCTCTCTCTCTCTCACACTAACACGCACACACACACACACTCTCTTTCTCACTAACACACACACTCTCTCTCACTAACACACACACACACACACACACATATATATATATGTATATATATTGGGATTTAATAAACATAGCTTAGATGTGGCACAAGGCCGAAGGTTTAGAGCACCCAATGAGGATCGAATTCTCTATTCAGTCGTAAATGATCGAGCGAGGCAAACTTGCTAACCATTATACTATACCAAAGTGCCACGACACGTACCAATATGAATAGATTTAGATTTAAACAATATTAATTTATTCAAAAAAAATAATTTATATATATATTTATATATATATATATATATATATATATATGTGTGTGTGTGTGTGTGTGTGAGTGCGCGCGAATCTATCACGCACGAACATACATACATACACAAATACAAATCACATACAACGCCAAGCATTCATTGGTTAATTAATCACCACTACGTTATTATAGACAATTTACAAATCGCAGCAATGCGACAATTTTGTAATCGATCCATTTTCATGTAGTCAGTTTTCTGCACTTTTGGGAGAAACGGATCACTGAAGTTTTCTTAAGTCTCCCCAAAGCTCGCTCGCTGATTGGTCGATGCCAACCAATCAGATCGTCTGCACGTGAAAAATAATTCTTCCCGCGCAGCGATCTGAAGCCTACAGTCACTTATTTAAGCAAGAGTTTTCTAACACTCATTAGTGAGATTTAAGTTGTCAAACGAATCCACGACAGTTGAAACCATGCGCCAACCTTCTCACTCACACACACCACTCACATGCTGAACATACCTTGTATATACTCACATAATCTTTTCTTACACGGCAAAAGCTTTCAAGAACAAACATTACAAGAGACTGTCATGAACATTCTTCCAGTGAACTTTAGAACATATAAATAACAGATAAAGAGAGACAACTCTTGTTTTATTCAACCTTTTTCTTACTTAAATGCATGCCTTCTTTCACATCATTGTTGGATATTGTGCATCTTGCTAAATACATATTTTATGTGTAACAATGTCTTTTGCTTATCCTTTTCTGCATCAGCCATGTTTCCTAATCTAAAGTTAAATTAAGGTGGTGAAGTCTGCCACATATATTTCTTGAATATTACTCGCTTACTTTTGCTTTACTAGACTTTGAATTATGGCACTTTGTGTCCTCCGAATGTTTTGACTGACCTTTCAACAACCTGATGAATATTCATGAATGTTTTCCGGTTCAAAAGACATCATTTTACTAAGACAAAATTGTTGTGTTCGTCTGAATTTTTTTCTTTACTGGATAAGTGATAAACGCTAAGGTTATGGAACAGTACGATTTTTAAATTTCATTTTTGATTTTCATGATGCAAGCATATGACAAACATCAAGGGAGATAACTATGTTATTGAAATGTCTAAATATTTTTAAAAATACTATTTAAATCTATTAGTTAAAACCTAGATATTTCACACTATCTACGATAGACATTTTAAGATATTTGTACAGTATACATAATTAATATATACACGCAAAATACACGCAATACATGCATACATACACACACACACACACACACACACACACACACACACATATATATATATATATATATGTCCTATTCCAGACGGGCTTAAGAAATTTAACATAGATAGAATTAATATATAACCCCATAAATCAAGCCCTACCCACATTCCTCACTCATACAAGACGGAGGTGTTGAGGTCTCACACTTATACATACACTCATACTAATATATACACTTACACGCATCATACACACTTCCAAAGAACAAATAAAAACACACAATTAAAACCCGTACATCGTCTTCCCAGCAAGCAATAAATCTGTCAAAATGACCAAGGGAATTCAGAGTTACAAGAATCTATCCAGTCTCTACCTTCAAAAACAACTTCAAAGAGGCCGTTTGACCAACACAAGGACTGACCAAAATTAACGATGAAAAAACAAATGAAAACTACAGATAAAGTTCATTTTCTTCAGAAATTCATTCATTCCTGTAGTTCACTGCTACTAACAAGCAGGAATTTTTTTTCTCCTGATGATGGCCATGGCAGCTGAAACTAGTCGAGGAACCTAATTGAAATAATAAAACAAAAAAAAAAATTTAATATACAACCCTGAAAAATTTAAGTTTTTAATTTTTTTAATATTTTTTATGGTTCAACACAAACACACACACACATATATATATATATATATATAAGGATGTTACAACGAATGTTGGTTGATCTGAGTAAAGACAACAAATATAATAACCCCACTTTTTTTGTAAATAGAGGTTGTATTTTGCTTTTAAATCTAAATAAATAATTCACTCCTCAGTAATTTACAATCGCCTGATGAGATGCATTGATACGCATCGAAACACGGCTGCAGTTGCGTAGCGATTTTGACTTGTTTTCGGTGTAATATCCTAAAATAAATAATATTGCTCTACTTTGTATTGAATCCCCTTTTAAATTAAATGTTACGAACGTTGGAATTGTACTCTATTAGTTCTTATCTTACATGGATATATATGTATATTCTCAATATATGACGAAATTATTTGTAAAAAAATTACTGGTTCGAAATTTAAACTTTGTGATGTTTTTAACGAAATTATAGCCTGTTAGGTATTTCAAATTTGAAAGTGCGAATTAGCGTTTGTCCTATAAACACTAACAAAAATCCGAGATCTGATGATTACGCCCTGATGAACGTTTCGAGGCGAATAAAATCAAGCAGATTTAAACTATCCCTGAGAGCATTTTTTTTTTAAGTTCTAAAGTGCGCAGACCGATAGATGTAAAACACAATGTTTAAAATAAAAAGGTGAGTCTATTTCAAATACGGTTATCTACTAAACATAATTATAATTAATGATTTTAAATGTCATTTTTAGTAGACGTTCGTTTATTTACGAAATAGAATAATTATTTTCGTCAACCGGCCTGAATATTCGAGAA